CTAGAAGGCTTCTGTCATCTTGAATTGGAAAATTAAGTCCTTTCTTCATAATCGTGATAGTTTTGAGATCAATAGGAATTTGTCATAAATTCTCTACTTTTTTCCTATCGTTGTGCTCATCACTAGGTGTTGTCACTTTGGAAAACACTATCTGTTCGCATTAACTTTAGCCGGCGCTTTCCTACAATTCCATATGTATGCAATTTTCTGTTCTGCCGTTTTTTTTATGTTAGAGATTTTTGTTATTTTCTTTCGGTCATGATCTATCGTTTTTCAATGCCCTTCAGAGACAGAATCCTTGCCAGATCACGCCTGAGCTTTGGCGTAATATCTATTCCTCTCCATATCATTACTTCTGAATAGAAACATTTTGGATAATATTATCAATCTTATTCGAATGGTATGGCCTTTTAATGTCAAAGAATTAACGAGTGATACCATAATGTTTACAACAGTTTAAAAAGGCAAGTTGGCGAGCTTTTCTTCAATGCATTATCTGGCAATATTACTGTCGTAGTTTAGTCGAAAACATGAAGACCTAGATGGTGTGGCATTCGGTATGTTCGCAGACTCTTTCGATGCATAGTACTTGGTTGACTTCTTTTTCACAACTTTGTCTTGGTAGTTATCATAGCTCCCATCGTCAGACCGTGGACTTAGTACATTTTCAGACGTTTCGCCGGCATCGTAGTCGGCATCATCAGTGAGTCTTTCCATTCTTAACATCAAGCTACAACACGTCAGAGACAAGTGAAGTCCATCCCTTGACTAAAATTTCTGCCGAATGGCTATGCTATCACTTCTTCTGTCCTGGCTCATCTATCTACTCCTTACCGTCTTGTCCCACTCCCGCCCTATCACACCTGATGTTATAAGGCTGATGTGGGATAAGACGGTAAGGAGTAAATAGATGGGCAAGGAAAAAAAGACTAGTGATAAGACAACCGTTCGGCAGAAAGTTTGTTAAAGGGTTAAATTTTATCTGTTTCTGACGAGTTGTAGCTTGGAGCTGATAGTGGCAAGGCTCACTGATGCTTCCAACTAAGTCGCCCTGACAACAAGACTAAGTTTCGAAAACGAGGCCAACAGACTTCTATTCATTGAAAGGAGACTGCCACCATACCGAGGACTACACCATCTTGGTCTCCATATTTTTTATTCTCAATCCAACCTGATTCCGGCCACATTTTCGTTATGGCCTACAGAGATTATTTAAGACAATCTATTGACCTTTTATTTGTCAAAGAAGATTTTTTTTGTTATCATGCCCTTTACTTTTTAAATAATGCCTTTCTCTTGCCCCTTCTTCATTAAAAATATTTTTTCTTTTAAAGCTAATATTCAAGTCTCCAATGCCCTGCATGAACCTTCATCAATTAATCCGCCTCAATCTAACCTCTGGTCTCTCGAACCCGCTACTCCTTCGGCATCCCCAGATGAAAAGCATTCAACTTCTTTACTAACGCAGACTCCTGTCGACTCAGCTTCAGGTAGAACTTCGGGACCGCTTTGCCAGCTTCCTGTACAAAAGACCCAACTAGTTGCTCGTCTTTTGGCTGACCGTTTTCGATCAGCAGGTAGCTCTGATGTTAACTTGTTCAGCCCCGCGGAAACGGCAGCTCCAGATGCGCCTGATGAATCGAAGGGTCTCAGTTCTTCTGCAGATTTCCAGGTGAACTAGAATTATTTACCTTCTATTTAGGCGATTTGCGCTGCCATTCAAAATTATATAAGGATTGCATGATTATCACTAAAGCTTAATTAAACAGAGGTGAACAAAGCTATACTTATCCGCAGTGAAGCTTATCTAATTATTTGTATTGAAGGCATACTATTTTATCCTTTTCTTTACTAGTCATTTATAAAGTTGTCAAAACGAGGCAAAACCATGTTATTATTATGTTGAGGCTAATTTATCTAGTCGAAGATATGAAGGGTGGTGTGGCCTTTTGTATGGTCGCGGTCTCCTTTCGATGTATAGAAGTTGTTTCATCTTTTTTTCGCAACTTGGTCTTATTGGTAGGAAGACATAGAGGAACGCACCTTATCCGGAGCCAATAGTATGCATAATAATTTCCAGAGTCGGACCGTGGACTTGGTACATTCGAAGACGTTTCGCAAGCATTTTAGTCGGCATCCTCAGTGATCCTTGCCATTCTTAGCACTACACTTCAACTCGTCAAAGAAACAAGTGAAGTCGCTAAATTGACCAAATATGTGCTAACTAGTTGTGGCATCTCTCCTGTCCTGAGCTATTCACCCATCCTATATCCTCGTATCATTCCTTTCATTATCACAATTTCTTACAAGTAAGAAATTGGGTCAATATGACCAAGTTGCGAAAACAAGGTCAAACAGCTTCTATACAACGAAAGGAGACCGTGACCATACAAAACCTCACAACATCCCGATCTTCATATCTTAGACTAAACTATGGAAGTAAGATTGCCAAACAATGCACCGATTACAGCCGGAAAATCCTGCCATTTGACCTTTTTGAATTGTTGCAAGTATCATGGTAACGCTCAGGAGTTCTGCGACCTAATGAGGAAGTGTCATTCTGACACAGTTAATGAAATACTTTATCATGCCTCTATCAAGAAATTAGAGGAAAGTTACGGAATTGAGATGCCTAAGCTATTTAAGTTGATAAACATTAAGTGTGGAATAAGGAAGGATCTATGCAAAGTTCTCATTCTGGAGGATTTTCAAAAACTCCAGAGTATGACTAATCAGAAGTCACAGAGGGTCCGGGATTTAATAAATAAGCGGCATGACAAGAAATTGCTTAGATATAGGATAATAAGACAGCGCAGGGTCAAACCAGCTGGGCCAATTTTGATGTTTCTTTATTGAAGGCTTTGACTGTTACAACCGACGATATAATTTTAAGGTAGTAAACCTGTCCTAAATCCCTCTTGATTCAGAAACGGTGAATCTCCTGAAGAAAGGGTTAAATTTTTTAAATCAGTAACGAAGGAAACATTATAGAAGATAGCCTTATAGAAGTTATCAACATCTCAGAGAAATTACCAGAAGAAACCAAACGGGAAATGGAAATGAAATTAATCCCTAGAATTCTGTCTAATCAAGAGCCAAGGAAAATGATCGGATTGATGAAGATGCGTAGAAAATTACAAATGAATGACAAAATAGTTCTTCAGGCGAGTAAGAGAGGTGAACGGTGATAATGGACAGGCAACAGTACACTTAGAAAATGTAAAGTAGCTTAGGCAACCCGAACACCTATCAAATAGTAAGAAAGGATCCAACAATGAAGATCAACGGGACACTGAAGAATATGATTTTAAAAATGCATAATAATGGGGAAAT